TCCTGGGGTAGGGGGGGTTCCTGGCGCAGGGTGGGGTGGGGGTATCACCCACCTTGCACTGGATGTAGGTGGTGTGGAGCTGCCCGGTGCCATCCTGTGCCACGATCTGCATGACGTGGGGGTGCTGGAAGGTGCCCTCGTCCACCCGCTCCACCGCCCGCATCCAGGGCACGGGGATGGAGCAACGCACCTGGGGACCCCAAAAAACCCACCACTCACTGAGCCCACGGCCCTGCCCGGGCACCCGGCGTGGGGTGGGGGGGCAGGGCTGGCACCCACCTGCCACTCGGGGGACTTGGAGTAGGTCAGGGCCTCGGTGCTGAGCCAGAAGTACCTCTTCTTGAAGGTGAAGCGGGGCAGCAGGGTCCCCCGCGCCGTGCGGGTGTGCAGGTAGCCCTCCTTGATGGTGGCCGAGGGGCTGAAGAGTGACGGTGGCACTGGCTCCTCGCCCGCTGTGCCCACGGCATGGTCGGGAAGGGAGGCATCTGTGTCACCTCAAGTGCCACCACCTCCCCCAGCTTGACATTGCCCATCCCCGACCATGCTGGCCGCATCCGTAGGGCACCACCGAGTGGGTCCCCCTCCACGGGGATGCTCCCAGGATGCAGGAATGATGTGTTGGGTTGGTGGCACAGCCACCTGCAGGTGCTTCCAGGGTGCAGAGGACAGCGGGGATGATGCCACCCCTCCGTGTTGGGTGGTGGCATGGCCAGATCCGGCACCAGTGGTGCTCCCCAGATGCTCCCAGGAGGCAGGGAACAGCAGGATGCTACCATCCCTCTGGGTTGGGTGCTGGCATGACCAGCCCTGGCACCAGCGGTGCCCCCACGCCCCCGTGGTGCCCACTCACCCTCGGTGCTCTCCACGGCGACCAGGCTGTCCAGGAAGGCTCTGACACGGGTGATGCTGGGCAGCAGGACCGCGTGGAGCGGGGCCATCCATGGCTCCTTGCCCTGCCCCAGCTGCAGCCCCAGGTTGCCGATGCTCTGCAGTGCCTGTCCCACGCCAGGAGGGGCTCACGCTGCTGCCCCCCACCTGGCACGGGGCTGTGAGGGGGTAGCCCTGCTCTGGCTGCTCCCCTGAATGCCAGAGGCTTGGGAATTGAGGGGGAGGATGGAAAAGAGGAGCAGCCCAGGAGGTGGTGGGACCCAGACGCTGCCCCACGTGTGGTGGCACAGCCTGGTGACAGACAGGGCTGGCCCCGAGTGGCCTGGGAAGGAGCCAGCCTGTGGCGTGTGGCATGGGGACAGGAATGGCTCTGCCCTCCTTGGGGTCTCCATTATTCCCTGGGGTCCCCTTACCTTCCCAGGGTCTCCCTGTCTTTCTGAGGTCCCCATCCTTCCATGCCATCCCTGTCCCTTATGGGTGCCCATCTCTCCACAGGGTCTGCATCCCTCCCTGAAGTCCTTTCTGGGGTCCCTCTCTGGAGTTCCCATCCCTCCCTGGGCTCCCCAATCCTCCTTGAGACCCACATCCCTCCCCGGGGTTCTCATTCCTCCCCAAGGGTCCCTATGCTCCCCTAGTGTCCCCATCTCTTCCTGGGGTCCCCATCCCTCCCCAGAATCCATGTCCCTTTCTGGGGTCTCCATCCCTCCTCAAGGTCCCATGTCTCCCAGTAGTCCACATCCCTCCCCAAGGGTTCTTATGCCTCCCCAGGGTTCCCACCCCTCCCCAAGGTCCCCATCCCTCTCCAAGGCTCCCTACACCTCCCCAGCGTCCCCACCTCTCCCTGGGCTCCCCATGGCTCTCCGGGCTCCACATCCCTTTCCAGAGACCCCCTCCCTTCCCCAGCATCCCTATCCTTCCCCCGGGTTCCTCCTCCTCCCAGCGCCCCTCCCCGGGCCCCCAGCCCCT